AAGTAAGTTGGCAACGCAAAGGCCGAAAGATGTAACAAATAATTTAAATATATTTAGTTTAAACAGAAACATAAATAATTACGTTTTTAAATTCTCAAAAAATTTATGTAAAAACTTTCATGTTTTYAACCCCTGAAATCGGGAAATTAAATTAAAAAATTACCCCTTATCCTATTACATTTTGCTATGCAAAGTCTGAAAACAAGCGGTTTTTTTTCTCATTTATGCCTTCAGAAATTAATAAAAATTAAAGTGCTATAAGAAATGTGATCATATTTTAAGAATAAAATCTTGTTTTGTTTCTGAGTATGCGATTTTTTTTCTTCAAAATGGCAAGTTATATGAACTTTTTTTTTGATAAAAATTGATTACAATATAGATAGTCATATTCATTAGATCATACCCTTTGTAAAAAAAAATATTTTACAGTGAGTTGCCATTTAAACACATTAAAAATTTTGCACATGTCAAAAACAAAATTTCAAAAAAATTTATTCATTCTTATATTCTGGTGGCTCGTGGTTTTAAGTAAGTTGGCAACGCAAAGGCTGAAAGATGTAAGAGTAATTCATTAACAAATAATTAAAAAAATATTTTGTTTAAACAGAAACATAAATAATTACGTTTTTAAATTCTCAAAAAATTCATGTAAAACTTTTATGTTTTAAACCCCTGAAATCGGGAAATTAAATAAAAAAATTATCGCCTATCCTATTACATTTTGCTATGCAAGGTCTGAAAACAAGCGGTTTTTTTATCATTTATGTCTTCAGAAATTAATATAAATTAAAGTGCTATAAGAAATGTGATCATATTTTAAGAATAAAATCTTGTTTTGTTTCTGAGTGTGCGATTTTTTTTTTTTAATGGCAAGTTATATGAACTTTACAATATAAATAGTCATATTCTTTACATCATACCCTTTGTAAAAAAAAGATTTTACAGTGAGTTGCCATTTAAACACATTAAAAATTTTGCACATGTCAAAAACAAAATTTCAAAAAATTGTATTCATTCTTATAAAACGTCACATTTTTATAGGTCTTTATCATTCATCAATTAGTTTTTCCAAAAAAATAAATAATTTAAATAAAAAATCAAGAATTTGAAAAAAATTACAAAAAATTAAAATTTTTGTGAATTTGTTTTTAAAAATTAATTTTTTGAAAAATAAATGTTAGTAAGTTATTGAACATTACGTGCTTTATTTAGAACAATTTATTTATGACGGTAATTGGTTATTTTTATATTTAATTTCCATGAAATCACTACTTTCGAGGAGTGTATGTATGTACTATACAGCACCCTGAAAAAATTTATAATTCATCGATTTTTAAACGTCCGTCCTGAAACTGTTAATATTAATTCATATATGTACTAATTTATTATATCTAGTATTTCAAAAAAAAAAATCGTTTTAATATGTTGATTTGTGTTCTTATATTTTTTTTTGCTACGATTTACTTAATTTTGTACATCCCTGTTTTTCAATATACATTGAAAGAAAAAGAAACGGAGAAATATGTGTTCACCTATTTTTATCCATACTATAACATATCTCAAATTTACAAAAATCGGAAACAACTAGATTTAAAAGTGATCGTTTTCACGTGTAATTACCTTTTAATGTTGTCAACTTATTCAAATTCTCGTCAAAATGGCTCATAGTTTTAAAATAACTTGGGAACATCAGATTAACGCAAAGGCCGAAAGATTCTTAATGTTGTCAACTTATTTAAATTCTAGTCAAAGTAGCATCTGGCTTTGTAATTAAGTTGGCAACGATTAATCACGCAAAGACCAAAAGATTTTTAATGTTGCCAACTTATTCCAGTTCTAGTCAAAGTAGGTAATGGTTTTGAAATAAGTTGGCAACATGAGATTAACGCAACGGCCGAAAGATTCGGAATGTTGGCAACTTATTCCAATTGTGGTTAAGTTGGTAACGAACAGAAAATTTGTTTCAATGTTGCCAACTTATTAAGTCATGATCATGATAGGCTATTGATACGTACCCTCTCTGGATGGTCCTCTGGCATGCCCATGAGGGCGTTTTCGGCCCTTGCCAGGCGCCCCGACAGCCCCAGAAGCAGACTCGTGATCTTGCCCACTTCCTCAATGTGTAATCTGAACTTGTCGGCTTCGTGTGGCCTCGCCAACCTCCGTATATGAGCCTCAACATTGTCGCCAAGTTCGTCGTTGATTTTACATTCTTCTGAAACGACCAATTGTTCCGATCGCAAGACTTCAAGTTTCCGGTCCAATCGGTTAACCAACTCCTCCTGAAACGGTTATATACAAACCGGTTCGGTTTAAAACTCGGTTCAAATACCTTTTTAAGTGTGAGATCTTTGGTATTCTTGACGATATGACACTGATTCATGTCTTGACTATACCTAGTTAAGAATTTAGCTTTTGGCTCGGATATGGTGAAGTAGGTTGAAGATCCAGACAGGGGACTTGTCGGCTCTATTAAGGAACTCATAGGGGACGTCGTTGAACTAAATTGTAAAGTTTGGTTAAAATAAACTGTCATTATAATAAGAGTTACCTTATTTTAGTGGTGGTGGCAGGAGTGATTGTGGTGACAATCGGCGGGGGGCTACAACTGGGGGTGTTATTCCTACTCCTAAATGGCGAATTGACCGGCCTTGGTCTCGATGTAACATCAACCCTGAACAACCCTTGAACATAATCTGTCGGTTTCTTGTAATCAGGTCCTGGCACTAGCAATTCTTTCAACCGGTCGGAAGTTGGCAAATGATTAACAAAATCTTCACTCAACTTCTCACATTCGATTTCCTCCTGCAACTTCTTTCTAGTCGGGAGGGGAGTTGGGGGAAGTTCGTCTTTTTCCGTCTGTGATGACGCATCCGTCGTCGAAGTATTGACTCGCAAAACAACTTCCGTTCTTTGAATCAACTGCAACCCCTCAACCACTTTCGGACACTCTTCTGCTTTCTTGGGGGAGGGTGGAGGTGATGCCTCAGGTGATGTTCTCAAAGGGGAGAGTTTCATGGGAGAGAGCGATTGCTTGATTTTCGGCGAAGGGGGAGATTCGTGTGGAGAGACCGGTTTGATGTAGGATGCCAGCAGTGGAGGGTTTGATAGATTCGTTGAGCGGAGTGGAGTGAAGGGTGAGCCTCTGGGAGGTGTCTTTGTTGGGGATTCAGGAGGGGACTTTTTGGGGCCGTTTTCGGGCAAATTTAGGCTTGTTGGGCGGTATTGAGTGTAGATTTTGGCGTTGATGGGGAGGACGTCAGGTAGTACCACCATCTCTTCTTTTTCCAGCGTTTTTTTACTTTTGTCGTTTAGGGAGGATCTTCGGGACAGGTTTGTGTTGTTGTTGGTTTTGACCAAGTCTTTGGTCGGTCTGTTGATGGACCAGACTGGCTCTTTCGTCGATTCGGTAATTGTCTCGTTGAGAGTATGGCCGTTTGGTGACATTGTGCGTTTGTAACTGCCCGTTTCTGAGTCGGGGACTATTCGGTCGCGGCGCGAGGCCAAGTAGGAGGCCTTTGACTGGCTCCTGAAACGGAAAAAGTAATTTAATTTTAAAAACACTAAGAAATATTTTTGGTCAAATTTACTAAATTTTTGTGACAAAAACAAGCGATTTTTTGCCTTGAAGTGATTTTTGTGTTACGTTTTCTAATTTATTTGGTTTCTCAAATTGCAACCTGCTATAGTTGATATTTCGACAAAAACAAATTTAAAACGTATAAAAAAATACAACTATCTAAACTGCAAAAACAAAAAATCTTATTCTTCCTCTACACTACGGTTTTTCGGGATTATTAAATTAATAATTACTGAAAAAAATATTTCACGTAAAAATAGTATAATAACAAGCATAAGCCTCACTTTTTGAATAAAAATAAAGTAGCTACCTAATTGTTACGTTAAGAATCAAAAACTAAGAAAAACAGTAAAAGTTCACTCGTAATGTTGTAAAAAAAATGTCTTGAAAGTAAAAACTTGAAAAACGAAAATTTTTGATGAAAAATGTCTATGCCGTTTCAAATACACATTATTTCCTGTGTTTTTCATAAAATTTATCGAAATCATAAGTACAGCGTGTTTCGTAATTTTAATATGCAACGAAAATGTTTACTAAAATGGAATTGTGAGATATGAAGAAAAGCCTTCGACTGGCACTTAAAACACAAAGAGTGATTTCACTTTCAAAAACTTATAAAATTTACAAGAAATTATATTTGGAATTTGGTTTTTTTGTGTTTTGAAGTTTTCAAAGTTTATTTAGTTTCTCAAATCGTAACTGTTATGTTTTTTTTCGACAAAGACAAACTTTTTAAACTTCTAAACAAGACCCACAAACAAAAAATCTTGTTCTCCCTCGACACTTCGGTTGTTAGGTTTGTCAGGATAATTATAAATAATTACTGAAAAATGTAATGTAATGTAAAAAAGCGTATCATAAAAAGCATTAAGTTTTAATTTTAATATTAAAAATCAAAAACTAAGAACAGAGAAAAGCGAAGAAGTACCTTTATGAATTAAAATATAAAAAATCTGTTTTGGAAAAAGTGTCGAAAAGCCGTTTTAAAAACATATAAGTGATGTACAACATATAAGTAACATATAAGTGTTTTGTACAAAAATTTTTCAAGGTATTTAGTAATTTTCTTATAAAATAAAAATTATTTCAGAATATTTTTACTTGATGTGATTGTTTTTCAGGAATTTTATACTTGTAGTAATTTGGATTTTTTGTTTTAAAATTTTCAAAATTTATTAATTTTCTCAAATTGCAACCTGCTATGGTATTTTTTGGTGGAAAAAAAGAGATTTAAAGATTAGGACTAGTTTTTCACGATAATTAATGAGATAATTACTAAAACAATATTTTATGTAAAAAATCGTAAAATAACAAACATAAATCTCCACTTTTGAATGAAAATTAAATACCTACCTAATTGTAATGTTAAAAATCAATTAAGAAAAAACAATAAAAAGCAAAGATGTAACTTTACAAATGAAATTATAAAAAAATTTCACTCATAATGTTGTAAAAAATGAAAAATAAAAAAAATTTGAAAAACGTAATTTTTGATCAAAAGTGACTAAAAGACACTCATTTCCAGTGTTATTCATAAAATTTACCGAAATCACAAGTACAGGGTGTTTCGTAATCTTTTTATGTAACGAAAATTATTTCAAAATATTTACTTGAAAATTCAAAATGAGATTGTTTGGCAGTATGAAGAAAGGCTATCGACTGGCTCTTGAAACGAAAAGGGTGATTTAATTTTTAAGAAATCTAAGAAAAAATATTCTTTGGTCAAAAATTTTTCAAGAATTTTATATTTGAAATTTGTATTTTTGTGTTTTAAAGTTTTCAAAATTTATTTAGTTTCTTCTCAAATCGCAACACATACGCTCTTTTTTTTTAACAAAAACAGATTTAAAATTTACAACTTCCTAAATAAGATCCAAATACAAGAAAATCTTGTTCTCCCTCTGTACTACGGGTTTTACGTTTTTCAGAATAATTACAAATAATTCCTGAAAAGTTTCTAAAAATCGCAACGCACATACGCTATGATTTTTTTTCCACAAAAACCAACAGATTTAAAATTTACGACTTCCTAAATAAGACCCAAAACAAAAAAATCTTGTTCTCCCTCTATACTACGGGTTTTAAAGAATAATTACAAATAATACCTGAAAAACATTTTATGTAAAAGAGCGTATAAGAATTTTCAACTTTTGCATTAAAATTAAGTACCTACCTACTCAATGTTAACTAAGAAAAACAGTAAGAAAAAGAAACTTTTGATGAAAAGTGTCTAAAACCATTTCAAATGTAGGTTCAAGATTTTTTCATAAAATTTTTCAGAATCAAACAAGGTGTTTAATAATCTTAGTATGCAACAAAAATTACATATTCAAAAATATTCACAGAAAAAGAATTGTTTGCGATTGTGATATTTACATTGTTGCGAAAAAAAATCAAAAATTTTGAAAAATTCGTTCCTAAGGCGAAGTGAAAATCTGTGCCTACCAAATGGCATGTGGTAATAACAGTTTATCGCCTTAATAGCAGTCTTGGAAAATTTCCTTACGCTATGTTGTTTTATGTCATTATTTCATATCCTAGTTGAATACGTAATATTTTTTACTTTCTTAAAATGACAACTGATTTCGCCAAAAATCAATCAGAGAGAATGTGTGCATAAATTCTCTTCCTTGTCGATTTTTTTCCGAATTATTTAAGACTACTCGCCTTTGACACGCTTGAGTGATTCGTTACATAACACAACAACAGCCTTGGTTGATAATTGGACCCGATCATTTTTAATTAAATTTTTAATCTGGGTCGCTTATCGTATTGATTTCTATCTCCCGGTGTACACACCATCTGTCTTTGGCTGGCATTCCAAGTAAATTGTGGGGCGAGAAGAAAGTCGTCGAGCAACATAAAAACATAACTTGTCTATACAATCATTCAAATCAACGATATGATAATTTATTATTAGATGCAATTTTCAACATTTCGATCGGAATTGGAGAAATTGTTCCATATGTGTGTGCAAAGAAGACTTGACATTTGATATATTTCTTGGGCAATCCTTCTCACACAAAAATTAGAACACAATTCACTTTTTTTTTAAATTACACAACTTAGCAATTACAAAAGACTCGATTTTTTCGTATCATCCTCCCGATAACGTTTGTGGGCTTCAATGCCCCTATTGTTCACCCAACAATGGACCTTTATGATACTCAAAGTCAAGGGCACTTATTGCAAACGTAGATTTATCACAAGTTTCGAGCATTTATCATAGTGTTAGAATCGTGTTATCGTTTTTCTTTCACGACTTGTTATTTCTATCCGGTCTGGTGCTTCGGATGCATTCTTTGAATTGCTAATTTGAAACTTGCAGGATTTTTTGTCTGAATCGAGAAAATGGTGAAATTGATGAGTGAGGAAGCGGATAATGGAAAGTCTTGGGTAAAATAGGAAAATTGAGACTTGCTCTGGTTTGTTTGTATTGTTGTGCCGGCAATAAATCTCAGATAAGATTATGCAAGGATTATTATTATTATTATTACAATGGGTGATAATAATTTATGCGAGATGAGTAATTAGAAAAATGAAAAGATTTGCAATTTCTTTATTTGGTTTTTACAAAAATACCACAAAAGATCTAGAGCGAGTTTAAAAAACGCAAGAAATTTTGAGTAAAGGAGTCCTTGAAATACCTGAAGGAAATTGAAAATGAAATAAACACACATTTTGTTGAATCAGATAAAAAACTTTCAGTGTTGAAAGATTACATCTTCTGACAAGAACTAATTAATAGGCTTTTCAGAATGGAAATTATAGCTACACTAATTTCATACCTAATGAGAAAAGAAATCCATTTGACAAAAGAACAAAACCTATTTAAATATCATGTTTAATAATTATGTTCTGAATAATGATCCACAATAGAAAAATATAAACTTTCCTTCCTCACATAAACAAAAAAAAGTTTGTTACAAAATTGGTGCTATTACAAAAAACTTAAGGGGATAAAAAGGTAAAACATAAAATAGTTATATTTTTTGTATAGTCGTATAGTTTTGTAATTTTTTAGTTTGTAATTTTAATTCTCTAATAGATGTGCGATGTCTTAATAGTCAAAAGGAAACTAGATTAAATTTTGACTTTTCAAATTGACATTACCAATTGTCACATCAATCCCTAAATCGACTAAAGTAATTTTTTTTGTTTCAAAATAGAATAAAGAGGAAGAACTACAAAAATATATATAAAAATTTCGATTCATGAGACCTTGAAGTACGTACTCATTCTTTGAAATAACTCGTGGCTTCGCCACTCGTTTTTTAAAATTGAATTCGTACTTCAAAACTGATCCAATAAATTTTTTTTTTGGATGTACTATTTTAAGTGGTACATATTTTAGTAGTGAATTATTTAAAATATATTTAAAAAATAATCAAAAAAAAACAAATTAATTCATAGTTTTTTTTTTTGATTTACTGAATTTGAGTCTCATTACCCCAAATTATGAAATAAAAAACACTATAAAACTCCTGTTTTTACGGTATATACCTCTTACTCTCTAAAGATAGTGCTCTCTCGTTTTAAGTAAATTATTAAAATACGTAATATTTTTTTATTTTAATTTAAAAAATGGAAAAACAAAATAGAATAACATAAACGATGAATTGATCCATTTTCTCAAACGGGAAAATAGAAAATTTAAGACATCTTTGACATTAAAAGTGATTTTAAAGAATGCAACGTTGCTAAAAAAAGTATAACAACATTTTTATTTATCATATAGATTTTCAATTATTATTGTGTTATACAGAGTGATTGACGAATAACCTTTAACGCAATCTTAATTAATTTTGAAATTATTTTAAAAACTTTCACCATGATTTAAGCATCCAGTTTTTCTCAGATGATTGTCAACGTTTTTGGTAATCACTTTGTATAATTTACAGTTCTCTAAATTCTCTACAAAGAAAATATAAAAAATATACAGTACCATT